AATGTGATCTGACATTGATGCCTCATACACAATCTCAATTGATCTTACAATGTCATGGGCATTAGCAGTGCTTATGCAATGGTCAAGCCATGAAGTTGTATGCCAGGCCTCGCTTATATATGAATAGCTATCTGTAGGCACAAGTATTTGGCTTGATAATATAAGATTGTTATCATCACAAAACTGCAGCATATGCTTAGCAAACAAGGACTTTTTGTCTGATATGTCAGCATTCATATCACCCACTACATAAACACTGGTGGAATGATTATCAACAATAAAAGAATGTATAAAAGCAAGTCTGTTCAGGTATTCATCTTCTTCGCGTCGGGCCGAACCACGCCCCTTAGCTGTGATATAATGAGCATATACCACGGCCTGTCGTGAGCCATTGCTTAAATATACACCCACAATAGAAGGTAAATCCGCACTCTGTTTGCTCAATAAACTTTTATCTTATTGTCACATTTGTTATTGCTTTGCATGGCTTTGAAACCCCAGAACTCTCATAGATGACACACAGAATGCTGCTAATTGGGAACCGGCAGCAAATGCCTTGGGGAAGTCTTCAATATTCTGTTCATATCTATATCTATATGAATACCTACATTGTCATGTGACCCATCCTTTTTAATTACTCAACGCGTGTGTGTGTGTGTGTGTGTGTGTGTGTGTGTGTGTGTGTGTGTGTGTGTGTGTGTGTGTGTGTGTGTGTGTGTGTGTGTGTGTGTGTGTGTGTGTGTGTGTGTGTGTGTGTGTGTGTGTGTGTGTGTGTGTGTGTGTACTCACAGATATTAGCGGTGCCCTTGGGGATGGGCAGGTAGGAGCCAGAACTCCAGGCTCGGCCCTGGTAGCTCTTCTTGCAGCGGCCACAGTCAGGCCCAGTGGTGTTGTGTTCACACTCGCAGCCCAACTTCTCTTTGTCAAACACACAGCTGTTGGCGTGAAGGTTGCACTTGCACCTGTCAAGAGTGGTAGAGAGAGGGAGGGAATTTGAAAGGGAAAAATATGTGAACATGAGTGAATTTTCTGGCACTGAATGAACATCAGACAGATTTTATTTTGTTGGCTGAAGGGCAGCATGTCCTTGACTAGCGGTGGCATTGGAACACAGTCAGACCGGCTATAACAGTTGCTTGTTCAACTTAAGAGGAGCTAGTTCAAAGGCAAGCAGTTGCACGAACAAATCTGGCATCATTATTTCTTCCCTTTTTCTTCCCCCCCCCCTCCCCCCCCCACTCGGGAAGGTAGTTTTAATTGTCCCACTGGAGAATGCAAAACTGTAAGGTCATAGTCGATGGGAGGGGGAAGATGAGGAGGGAGAGAGGGACAAAGAGGTGCGAGGGGGGGGGGCTGATGAAAACAAGCCAAGTTAAATGGGAAAATGAAGGCACAGAGGCTTGTGGATCTGCGAGGCGAGAAATAGCTCAGAGTTAGCCAGAGGGCGGCGGTGAGCAACAGCACGGCTACGTTAGCTATGACAAATTAATATGAGATGAGATCTCAGAAGCATATTTCCATTTTGGAGAGAGGGACTCCCTTAAGGTGCACTTAATCCTCATGCACATCCTTCTTGCAGAACCTTCATTTAACAATAAACTCAACTAAATTCATTTTGTGCTGTGGCTAGATGAGCATTGAGGGGATATCTATCTGTTCAATTAATTTATGATCCTCGTGCAGCGTACTTTGAGGAATATGGGGAATTGTTAAGACTTATTTTTAAAAGACATTTGCATAGAAGACAATGTGAGTGAGTCGTTTCAAAATCCAGTATGCAAAGGAAGTCATGAAGCGTTGTGTCATGGCATTTCAACGTAGTCCTTTGGGGTTTCAAATGGTTTATTTGACTTTAGATATAGGACAATTTTAGATATATTAGATATAGTGCGTAAACATAAGGATCACATTTTTCTATTTGAGAATGTATAATTTTTGTGTGTACACATGTATTAGCCTTTCGAATAATGATAAGATCACATCCCACAGGCACAGCAGAGGAACACATATGTGAGAATACAGTTCAATGACCACAATTCAGCTTTCAACACAATTGTGCCCTCCAATCTCATCATCAAGCTCAGGGACCTCAGGCTAAGCAGCGCCCTCTGTGCAGTGCGGGTGGGAAACATCACAACCTCCACCCTGATCCTCAACACCGGAGCCCCTCTAGGCTGCGTGCTCAGCCCTCTCCTCTACTTCCTGTTCACACTACTGCGTGGCCACACACAGCTCCAACACCATCGTGAAGTTTGCTGACGACACGACCGTCATCGGCCTGATCACCGACGGCGACGAGATGGCGTACAGAGAGGAGGATAACAACCTCCATCTCAACGTCAGCAAAACCAAGTAGCTGATTGTGGATTACAGGAAGCAGCAGGGAGAGGGACACGCCCCCATCGCCATTAATGGGACTACGGTGGAGAGAGTCAGCAGCTTCAGGTTCCTCTGTGTCCACATCACTGAGGACCTGACATGGACTCATCACATTAACACCATCACCAAAAAAGTGGCTCTTTTGTCTGGTGTTTTGGTGTCCTGCTACAAGAGAGTTTGACTGATCTGAGATCTAATGCAGAAATGTGACACGACACACTCCACAAACATTACCAGCATGAGGATGCTTTATTTTCGAAGATAACAGTAATGTGTCCTAAGCGCAGAGTGAGTCATGACATAGTATCGATGCCAACCCTGGCTGCAACTTAAATAAAAAACTGGAAAACTGAATTCCAACACGCATGACTCACCCTGAAATCATGGAACTGTGTTTGTTTATTTTAGGATTAAAGGCTAAGAGCCAAACAAAATGGCACAATACAAACCAGACTTCTTACTTTGAAAATGCTTGTTCTTTACTAAGAGAAAGGTGAAAGGCATTTTTCTATTCCTTCCTAAGGCAGAGTGAGAGCTAGAGTAAAAAAGGTGAATGAGATGACACCTACAGCCCTACAGTTATGTTCGCTATCGTCTTAGTTAGAAATGAGTTTGACAGCTGGTCTCTGTCAAACCCTGCCGATTCTGCTTGATACGTGGGTACTAGGACTGCAAATGGAAATGAGCTATTAGCTATAATCTGGCATAATTCATATCTTCTCTTTTCTGAGATGAATGTATTTGTATGCATAGTCCTTCTTGAAATAAATACATAATTCAAAAATAAAAAACTCCAATAATGTGGAGGTTCTACATTCTTCAAATCACTCAACACTCCTTTACCCTGACCCTGAAGTTACCTGCTTGTTGTGGTTTGATACCTGGCCACTTTGTAGTACTCTTTAGTACCAGGCTACGGAGTAGTCTTTATTTGGAGTCAGTAGCTCATGGATAATAAGGTGGGCAGAAGTAAGAATAACACCTGTTATTATATCATGTCTGAAACATTTGAAAGCATTTCCTATCTCATGCTGCTCATGTTCTTTCCATGTTGTAGCTTCAGGATGTGAGCAGTAATAAGGCTGCCTGCCACTCACTACTGTACGAGTGTTTCTGTTTCCTAGGCTAACAGAAACCCATTACATACCTAAATCCAATTTTTGAGTTTTAAACAATCCAGATTCAAATGAATGCAATCCCAGCTGCCGATTTTATTTCAATTGTCCACATTTGTTTTATCGCACTTACAATGTAATGAGTGATGTTTGTTCCTAGGAAGGGACTTCTCTGAAAGCATCGTACCTAATCTAGGTAATAAGCACCCATGTAAAAATAAAGTCTACTTAAGTATTCTCAAATAAATAATAGCCAGCACTTTAGAGCCTCTAAAGGAGTCCACTTTGAGGAGCTAGACTGTGACATCCCTTTGTAACACTGGATTCAATCTTCAGCAGCTATGGCAGTTATATCCAGACCACACTGAGATGCAGAGGGATTGATCGAGAAAAAGTGGTGTGAGTTGAGTCAGCGTCCATTAGTGGCTAAAATCAAGGTAAGAACAGAATGAAGTCCTACACAGCCCTGGTCAATTCACTTCCCTTCCTTCTCTGTTATAACAGTCTTGATAGTGTGTATGTATGTGTGAGTGTGTGGACGTGAGGAGCGGCTGGAGGATGAGCTGTGAAACGACTTCACATGGCCCTTTGTGGTTTAACCTTCAGTTTTTTTCAACATCGGCAACAATTTAATCAGCGTCCAGAAATGATACTGCCGTCGGCATAATAGTGGAGACCGCCGCTCAGGCCCTGAGGGTCTTATACCCACAAGAACTGTTGTGCTGCCAATCAGCAGTGGCCCCTGAATGTGGATACCAAGAGAGGCTCCCTCATCGCTGTGCCAGCAGCAACAGTTTCAGAGAAGGATCTCAGTAAACGTGCATTTGACAGCATTTTAATAGCAAAATCCCTCCAGCGCTCCCCAACGTGTGTTTTTTGTCTTAATTTCCCTTTTGGCTCCGCTTCACTTTGAAAACTCTGTAGGTTTTCTCCTTCTGACTCTCCGTCATTCTTTATATCATTCTTTTCATATCTCTCTTCTGCATCCACCTATTAATCTCCTGTTAATAAATATTCATGGAGCTAAAGCATCTTTGTTTTTGTGTGGTGCTCTCAAAGTGATATTGCTTGAGGCAATATTGAGTGTGCCAGCCACCGGCTGTGAGCGAAAGGTCCTGATATGTATTCATAAAATTACCCGTGAGGCTATGAGCTCAAATTGCTTGACTGGCAAAAGAAAAGAAAAAAAAACCTTGAGTGAAGTTTACATTCCATTTTTTCTGAGAGAAAGCAGCACACATATTCTCAAATCTGACAAAAGTTTAAAGTTCTCCTTAAAATGTGGGAGACAGGAAATATTGTTTGGCCCAAATGTATTATTTTCCTTTATCCTGGTGGAAACGAGAGCGGCCCAACGGACTTAGCTCACCTGGAGCAGTGTGTCTATGACCTCTGCAGTAATGGGATTCTGATTGACACCATGTTCAGACGACATATTGCGCCTTTCCACTGATGATGCCAGCAGCCACAAACAAAAACAGACCAAAACAATGCCCTGTTTCAGAATTTTTATTCCGTATCCTTTCTATTACTTCAGCCAATATCTGCATCATCTTCGTTTAGCCAAGTTCCTTCCCTGACATTGCTCTATTTAGCTCGTAGCGGCTTCAAAGCCAAAGTATCAGCCACTAATTGATAGTAATTATCCATAATCCAAGCCTACAACATCCCCGACGCACAAAGCTGCTGAACCCAACAAATTGAGCAGACTAAACTCAACATGGTCCTTAAGTGGGTTAACTAAGTGAAGCAATTAAATTTCAATCTAACGCCCAGGTGTTTTCATATGCAGCCAATTGGGTCAAACACAGCTAATAAACACTTTTTTAAAGCCTGTGTCTGCATTCAGTGTGTCGTGCAAATAAGCGACAACAGACAGGGGGTTGCAGAGGTCGGGCAGTGGGGTGGGGGGGTGTCCGGGGGGTCTAGTGGTTCAGAGAGCACTCAGGCTTAATTATGTGTGATGAAAAGGAAATATAAAAACAGGAGTGGCTGTTAAAATGGCCTTCAGGCGTGTGTTTGCTTAAGTTATATTTCACACACACGCACACACCTACATTACCGAAAGGGGACGATAACTCCATGCTGACGAAATGGGGACTGGTAAAAAGATACCATAGAACATTTTAACACACACACACACACACACACACACACACACACACACACACACACACACACACACACACACACACACACACACACACACACACACACACACACACACACAGTTTTATAGCTCTTACACATTGACATGTATAGCTTGCAGCTGACGTATGTATTGGCTTGAAACATATCATCCTGTCTGCTTACGTCTTACTTACTAATTTCCCCCTCTACCTCTTTCCCCCAGCCTGCTTTGCATTGTGGGAGGAAGAGGATTAAGTGGGATATCAGCACGATGTCTCCTGGGATGGACCTCGCCCGTAAACCTCCCCTTAATTGCATCCTTCTGTATCAGAAAGTAT